CTGAAGGTGCCCGCGTAAATAGCAATTCGAAAGAGACGGAATCCGACCCCATTCGGTCTGGGCGGACCATAAACCGGAAATAGTGAGCATAAGGAAAACTTGACGGAAATAGCGAAGGAATGAAAACGGGTATAAGGAAATGTATTTTTGTAGGGGCTCTCATTACTCACACTCCGAGTCGAAACAATAAATAAAATGGTAAGCCTCTTAAATTAAACTGTAAATTTGCTTTCCACCGAGGCGAGCTAAAAAGCAGGATTTAGCTTCACCCGAATAGGAAGTATCAAAACTCCAAGTGAAGAAATTACGTCGCGTTTCCTCCCTCGTCTTGGCTTCTCCTCCCCCTGCCCCTCCCCCTGCCCCTCCCTCCCCCCCCCCTCTCCCTCCTATATTTCGCCTCCCCCATCAATTCCTATTTACTCTTTATATTTCCTTAGTTTATCAGAGCGTGGCGGGGAATCTCGCGGCTGGGTCCATCTCTGATCGCGCGGTGCAATCCTAGCGCGTGCGACGCCAAATGAAGGGAGAAAATACTGTGTTCCACGGAAGAAGACCTTAGGTACTCGCATTCGAATGTTGCCTAATTTCTCTCGATAACCTGTTGATTTCCGAGAGAAGTTACACTGTTTTTCTTTGACATTTTCAACTGCCCAAGTAGCAGTGATCGCGATAAAAAGCGATTACATGGGTTGGTTATGGCGATTATATCGGTGGAAATACATTGAGATATTATCGGAGTAAAAATTGCGGTGTATGGCGATTAAATCGCTACACATCGCAATTTTTGGTTCGGTGAAATCGCGATCAATTTTTGTCGATAAAATCGAGATTAAATCGCCATTTATCCTTCCGCCATTCGCAAAAACTTCAAAATCATATAAGTTGAAAGCCGCTGACACTGCAAGTTTGAATAGACGCGTCAAACACAGTACGGCCGGCGCGGGGCTGGCGCGCACGGCGCTAAACGCATAGTAGCGCTTTACAATACCGCAGGATACTTCATGTATTGCGCGTACAGCACGGTACGCGTGGCGCGCATAGTAGCGCCTTACAAGTCCACAGGATACTTCATGCATTGCGCGTAAACTACGGTGCGCGCTCAAATAGAAAGCATTCAAAGTAGCAGTGATCGCGATAAATAGCGATTTTATTGGTTGGTTATCGCGATTATATAGGTGGCAATATATCGAGATATTATCGGAGTAAAAATTGCGATGTATAGCGATTAAATCGCTACACATCGCAATTTTTGGTTCGATAAAATCACAATCAATTTTTTTCCATAAAATCGAGATTAAATCGCCATTTTCGCGATGTTTATTTCAAAAATATCGCGATAACTCGTCGGGCAATAAAATCGCGATAAGATCGAGGATAATCGCTAAGATGTTGATGATCCTGGCGATTTTATCGCCAATAAAATCGCAGCAATATATAGCGATTTTTCCGTTGAGGAATGCTACTTGGGTGTAGATGGGTGAGACTAAGAGATCACATATCGACGGTGTAAGTGCGCAACCACGTATCTCGGTTTGCAAACTTCCTGGCATACTTTATTTTATAAATGAAAAACTACTCAACGGCAATTCTTAAAAACTGCCGTGATTTTTCTTCTGAGTGCCAAGAAAACTCTGTGAATACTTCAAGGAGTAATGTAGATTTGTTCTCCTTTAAAAAAATAATATAGGAGCGGAGATCTTCAAACACCGCCAACGAGAAACGTGATTGTGGACTTACGCCGTCGATACATTGATTTGCGACACAGCATATTTCCTGTTGCCGATACTTTTTTCTTTACTTTTCTCCTTTTAACCTACTACCTGTAACTAGTATTTTCCCAAAGTGCAATTCAAAACTGTCATGGTCTCTGTCTCTCTTCTAAAAAAAAACGACAATTTTAGAACAGAGTAATAATAAAGATACACATTTTTTCTTGCTTAAGCCGCGGCATGGTTGAAAATTTACAAGGTGTCATGTGAATTTTTAAAAATACGTATTGTATTTTCATCAGTAGACGCCAAACGTGAGAATATACTGTAGTTTTCTCGATATTGATGAGTTACAACCTACATTAAAGCTTCAATCATTCTTTATAGCGAAATGCATTCGATTGCAAGTAACCTTATCACATTTTCTTCTTATTTCACGTGATTTCGCAATTTCACAGTTGGGCGTATTTCTGTCAAACGGAACTAAGCGCCATGAGTGGAGGAAGGTAGAGGGGGGCTTGGATTGGCGGCGGAATCGGGCTTCGGGTTCATTCCGTCCTATACTCGCAATGCTTTTCCATGGCGCTTAGTTCCGTTTGACAGAACGCGCTATCCGGCATTCTAAATTCCTCAAAAGGAACTCAAATTGGCGCTTAGTTCCGTTTGACAGAAATACGTTCAGTTGATGTACTAAATTTTAATTAATATGGAATTGTCAGAAAAATCCGAGTAAAAAGTTCACACATTTTCCACAAAATCCACATTTCATCAGGAGAAATTAGGCAACGCCCGAGTGTTCATAAGAGGTTCTTCCTCCACACGCGAGAATAGAGAAGGATGCGCGAGATAAAATAACGTTATGAGAAATTCCGGCGCAACTGTTTAACATTTATATTACGCGTGCATAAGGCTAAGCCTCGAGTCGGAGTCGGGACTTTAATCTTTTTATTGTGCGCTTCGCGACGATTTGTTGATAATTTGTCGGGTGTGGAGATCCCCGCCCTCCGTCTCTCCCGCGGGAAGAAACGGGATGGAAATGAGACTCGACTCCTCACTTCGGGAATCTCTCCACACGCGAGCTTAATGGGAAGCAGAGAGAGACAGAGGGCTCGATACGCAAGAACCGCGCAACGTTGACGCTAAGCCGCGATACATACGCGTTTTTTCGCGCGGCGAGGATTCACCTCTGATCCGCGACGGAGAGGAATGTAGTATTGCTCCACCCGAGTGTCTCTCGCCGAGTTTCGTCTCTTATCCTGCCGAAAAGCAGTAAAAATGAAATAATGAGCCGAGTGGAAGAAAGTTTAATTAAGCTCTGAGTATCTGCACTGCACCTTCGGATTTGGTCGGGATCAAAGTTGGAAGTCGAGTTCCCTTCAGCGGGAGGAATAAAAACTTTCGTTAAATGGATAGAGTTTGAGCTCGCAGGACAACCCAATGAAGTCTCCAGTGCAGTGTCTTGTCAGCTTGTTTGTCTTTTTAACGGCGGCAGCGCGCAGGCACACGCATGACTTTGACTGTGAGCTCGGGGCAGCCCAAGCGCCTTCATCTAGTCGAGTATGCAATTCGGGCAACCACCGAGCTGGTATAGTTGTATCCAAGCGCCGTGACCGGACGTCGCGTTGAGCATCGTGCCGTCTGCAACTTAACAGTCCTAATACGCTTTAGTAGCAGACCTCTATTCTGCCGTATTATTGTCAAACGTCGTATTAACAATTGAAGGTTGCCAAATTTTCTCTGCCAGTTCAGTTTCAAAGAAAGTTACGAATACTTTTCTTAGAAAATTTTAGAAATTTAGATTAAATCGTGAATACAATTTTATGAAAAGTTTAACGATAAGTTAAATTATCAATTTTTTTTGTTTTTATCAGCGAAAATTTGCCAATGTCGGTTTGTTTTTATTGCACTTTTCTTCGCACGGCAGCTAACGCATGATGAAATTGTGAACAATGTGGAATTTGTGAGCGATAGCATTGTGAACACTTCAACTTTTGGATCTCTACCTCTCAACTCTTAAAAATGCATATCGACGGTGAAAGTCGGCAATCACATAACTCGGTTTGCGACGTGGCAGACTTCCTGTCATACTTTATTTTTTAAACGGAAAACTATTTAACGGCAATTCTTTAAAACTGCCGTGATTATTCTTCTCTGTACGAAGAAAATTCTGCAAAAACTTCAAGGAATGATGTCAATTTGTTCTCCTTTAAAAGAAAAACATAGAGGAGGAAATTTTCAGACACCGCAAACAAGATATGTGATTGCCGACTTACACCGTCATATATATTTTTGTTCGCTGCTAAGTGGCATGACGTTTTGAGCTGTTCGTTTGATGGACCAGACAATACTTTTAAATAGAGAGCCTTCACCATCGCGGGAATACCATGGCGGGATCTCTTTTTGTATCTGACTGAGATTGTCTATTTTATGAACTAAATATGACTCGCGTAAGTTATAATCTGTGATTTTACAGGAATGCTTAGGAATAGAAAAATTTTGGGTAATTTAGTCAAATCACGACACGTTGATTCTTCCTTTCATTTCGACCGCATTATTCGAAAGAGGACAAGTATAATATAACTTTATTCAAAAACTTTAAAATGTCAATTTATAATTATGCTTTTCATTTTTTTTTTTTTTTTTTTTTTGTAGCAGAGCTTTCTAGGTGGCATCTTCAGAACGGTTTCGAGAATTTTCATCACTCTGAAAATGCTCTAAATGCTTTAATCAATATACCCTGTGCTTCATCCGGAAGGAGAAAAATCCCTGTAAAAGCATTCCGTTTGCTAAAATATAATATATAACCAATTAAATGATTATCAAATTGAATAAAAAATGAAAAAAATTAAAGAATACTTATAATTACTCTTGTGTCTTCATTCATCCACTTTTTCAGCGCAATTAGCCAAACGATCGTTGAAGATAAACACTAAAAAAAACTCCTTTTAGATGTACGTGGTATATCTGGAATAGGAAAGATAATGGGCACACACCAGAGAAATACACTTTGGATGACGTTTAGCGAAAAAGAACCAAATGAAGGGACTCGGAACTGACGGAAAAATTGACGTTAAAGTATTCCTTCTCCAAAACGGCTCAATGTAAAAAAACAAACTTTGATTCATATTTTTGCACAGTAAGTAAACATTTCTTCTCGATTTACAATTTTTGGTGAGAGAAAATATGCTCTCGCTTGGGTTTCAAAAGATCTTGTACTCAATTTTTCAGAACATTTCACTGGATCGTTTTTCGCCGGACGCTGTCCTTTTGTTAATCTGATTCTTGACTTACAGATTGTAATGGACGTCAGCCATATTTGGTCGGAAACTGAGCGCCATCTTCAAAGCATGCTCTGCCTCATCCAATCGACCCTGAGAGCTGAGAACCGATCCTAGATTCCCGTAGGCTGAAACAAAAATAGATATAGACAATTAAATGATTGAAGCATTCAAAATGTACACATTTTACAGCCGAAAATTAAGTTGCTCTTTGATACTTCTTTAACTTGAAACTCGCCGGCAAGGTTTGCCTAGCGATCGCTGTCTGACTCTAGACCAATAGGTCCCAGGTTCAAATCCCGGTGGTGGCGACAAATTTTCGAGGAGCTGACGAGTGGATCTGCAGGAACAGATTATACTCGGCCTTGTTCCCCGACAATTTCGCGTCCTTTCCCCATATAGATACTCCAGGGCAATACGGACAGCTACCGAACGTTTATTACATATCGACGATGTAAGTCGGCAATCACATAACTCGGTTTGCGACGTCGCAGACTTCCTGTCACACGTTATTTTTTAAACGGAAAACTACTCAACGGCAATTATTTAAAACTTCCGTGATTCTTCTTCTCTATGCGAAGAAAATTCTGCATAAACTTCAAGGAATGATGTCAATTTTTTCTCCTTTAAAAAAATAACAAAGAGGCGGAAATTTTCAAACACCGTAAACGAGTTATGTGATTGCCGACTTACACCGTCGATATAAATAAAAAAATATCAACGTATTTGACTTGTGTGAAGGAATCCTCTAAAGAAGGCAACTTGGGATTGGCCGGAAGCGTGAGGAGAATTCCCACGGGCGTGTGGAATGAGACAGAAAAACACAGGACCCCGTCTCAAAAAATAAAGATAAACCAATATCTTTCGCCACCTCCGGAATCGATTAGCCGCTCCAACTGCTCCGCGAAGATAACTCCTGGTCGGCCCCAAACGGGACTCGTAAACGGGGAAAAGCACGAAGGGTTGGGGGGGGGGGTTGAGGGATGCGGACGGCGCGATGCGACTTTTATTTCACGCATTATCTCGTTTTACAGCCCGCGTACGACTTTTACTAGCGTGCAAGCCCGCGTCAAATGAAATTCTTGAGCGTTCAAGACGCACAAAAATGCGCTGGGCGACTTTCCTGAAAATGCCGAGCATGCCGCACAGCAACGATGCCAGAACACGTTCAAAAAGTATTTGATTGACCGCGGGGTCTAAGACCCCAGCCAGAGAAAGAAAAAGTTTCAGCGGCTCGACATTTCAGGCGCTTGGAGGACAAGGCGCGCATAAGTGTAGTTTTTGTTATTTCGAGAAATACGTGTTCGAAGACTGGAAAGAAACACATTGGATCTAGAGTCCAGACTCTTGTAAACATTGACAAGAAAAATAATCTTCATTCAATCGGATTTTTGCTTGAATCAAAACGAAATCCGCTTAAATCAAGAGGCTTGGTTCTTAATTTAAGCTAGGTTCTGATTGAATCAAGAGTACTTTTTCTTGTCGATGTTTTTAAAGTCTGCATGGACTCTAGATCCAATGTGTTTTTTTTCCAGTGAAAGTTTCGAAATTACATGGATCCTAATGGCAGAAAGAAAGTTCAAACTGACTTTTTGATGCTTAAAAATGTGAATGTAGCAGCGAATTTTTCGCAGAATATGCAGTAAGACTATAGTATCACGTGAAATCATTAATATCTAATTTTTTCAAAAACATGCACATATGCGCCTTGTCCTCCAAGCCTCTCATTTGATGAATCGGGGCAAGAAATCGAAAAGGTTGAATTAGACTGGTTTAATGGCTATAGGTACATTGTACCAGGGTAGTGGAATGAGTCAAATGTTTCTTTGAATTGAAACTTCTTTTGTTTAATAAGCCACCAATTGCTTTATGATTTGTCGAAGGCAAAATCGTTATGAGCTAATGACACAATGAACTCATAAAATTTGAACTTGAGGTTGTGTTTTAATACCGTCCTATTACGAGTAGAAAAATCGAAAATTGTTAGGTCGGATATAGCAAGGATGTCATAGCCACTACCCTATCCAGACGGAAAACTCTTCCTAGTCTTTTAAAAGTCAAGCCTCAATAGGAACTTTGGAGATAACTGATAAGAGTCTTAATAGTCGTAATTGAGAGCGGTTTGGTTGATTACTTAAGGATTACTTAAGGATGTTAAGTTACAGTATCACCTGGAAATGTCGTGCCCTCTACCCTTAGCAGTTTAGAATTTTAATTAGCTTTTTCTAGCATTTTTTTTTGTTTTTTTGTTTTTTTGATTTGTTTTCCTTAGCGCAGACTTCAAATGGTCATGACTTTAATTAGATGTGGTCATTTTAAAGCGCGTTTTGTCCCAAAGTAAGAATAGATCCCTCTATAAGCTTTGCATTCAAGGCTCAATTCAGAGTTTTAGTACACCAGGTCTCTTTCATAGTAGACGGTCACATATTTTTCAATTGGATGTATAAATGAGAAACCTATCCTTACTTTTTGAGATGATAGATGTGAAGGTCACATTATCAGTGAGTAGAAAAAGGCAGCCGTTATTGGACACTTGTATTTGTCATTTGTGCTACGATATGACGAGAATGATTGAATTTCACTCTCTTTGCTCAACGTTTTTTAAAAAGAAAACCCCGCCTTTACATGTGCTCAGTTTTCAACGAGAGAGAAATGGGCAAAAGTTGGAGAGCGCGGCTCTCACACGCAGGACATTCTCGCACAAAAGGAGCTTTATGAAAGGGATTTAGTTTGTTTTTGCGGCCGGGAAAGCCGGTTTTTTAAAGACTCCGCGCATAAAGGATATGCAAGTTTATTTCACGTCTTTTTTGCATAGTTGAATGATGAGCTTCCCTTTTTTGCATAAAGGAAAGTAGAAGAAATTGAGAGTAAGAGCACGATATCAGACAACCGCGGGCCAAGTTGTCACGGAGTTCTTTGTTTACGAGCCGGAGCGAGCCACCCACTTGCCGGGTTTCTGTAAGGCTCGCTAGATTTTCTAGATACAAAGAGTTCTAAACTAGGACTTCAAGGAAAAAGGGATGCAGAGAACTGACTAGGAAATTCGCGGAAACCGCAAGAAAAACTATTGTCAAATATATGCGAGAGAGTTTTGTCCGCAGCTAAGAGAAGGTTATCAGGATGAGATCGAAATTTTGGTGGAGCTTTTAATTCTAAAGCAAACTTCAAACAAGATAAAGTGAGAAATCGAAGAAAATTTCGAAGAAGAAATAAAATTCGAATTAAAAGCGTTGGGAGTTTAGAATTTTTAGCAAAAATATGTTACTTTGTGTCAAGTATACCCTATTCTCTCCGAGTCATTGAAGAGTAATACAACACATGATCACTGAGAAACAAAATTGGTCTCATGAACTTGAAGCACGGTCCTTTTTATAGGCCGCACAAATCGGTTCATGTAACTGAACTCTCGGTTCTGGGACCTAGAATTCTCGGTTCTAGAGACTGATACATCGATCTTTTAGAGTCAAATACGTTTGGTTGCGCGGACACAGCGCTGCAGCACAGTAAAAGCGCAAAATATAGAAGAAAACATAAAAGTGCTTTAGGGAATCATTAAATTTGACACGGAACCACCGTAATATTTACAAAACACATTTTATATTTTCCTTAACTAATTTTTTTTCATCAATTTAAATGAAGAAAATCCATGCAGAGTATGCAAAAATTTCAACATTATGAACTAAAAACACCGACTCCGCGATTTTACATATTTTGAGCTATAACACGGAGCGGAGCGGCGGGCTACCGGCGCGGAACACGGACTATCGCCTACAAACCTAAGGGGATACTTTACGCATTGCGTCATGCTTGAAGTATCCCCTTAGGTTTGTAGGCGTTGTGCGCGTTGGGAGTTGGCCCGCCGGGCCGCAGCACGCCACGGCGGCGCCTCAAGCAACTATTTCACAACAGAGGTGTTGCACAGTATCAAACGAAAGTGAAGGTGCCCCAACATTTTAAGAATGATAGGCATCCTTTAAGAGTACGGAGCTTTCCTCGAAATATAAATTAAAGTGCTACGGCACGAACTCCCCTGCCGAAAAAACGCGTGGACATAAACTACTAGAGGAACCAGGTGTGCGGACAAAAAATCGTTGTAGAAGTGCCCTTTAACCGCCTAACTTCGAAATCCTCAACTATTTTGCAAAAGCTGACCTGGCGAAGTGCTCTCCCGAGATTTTTCGGTCATAATTAGGGGAGTTTTTTTTTTTATTTCTTGATCAACACGTTGCTCATCAATCATCACTAATCAAAAAGTAGCGTTGACCTCCAAGTTAAACCTCTACCTCATCCGTCTACATTACGTTAGATCCTCAGTGCGCGGTTTCTAAAATACCAGGGTGCCCCGGGATCAAATATGAATATTGAAGGAGTCGATTCTTTGGGTCAAAAAAGACGCTTTTGTAGTATAAATTTTGTTTCCAAAAACGCTTTCCATGGGCGCAACGACTCCCCAAAATTGGAGAGAAAAAATCGTCTTTTTAACACTGCGTCAATATTAATCAGCCAATATTAATGAAAATTGGTTACTGACAGTAATTTTTAGCAATCTTTTCATTTTTGACCTCTAAAAAAGGTAAAATTCGTTTTAAGGGGGGTTTAGGGGGGCGCCAAACCTAAAAGTGATCAAAATTAATGTTCCTAGCGACAAAAATTGATTTTTGATGGCAACTTAAGATTCAGCGTTGTAAATATTGAGAAAATGTCTTGTGCGGTTTTTCGCTATAATTCATTGTTTTCGAGATAATAGGGACTAATAGAGAATAATAAGAGCTGATAATAGGGGGATAATGGGGCCCCCACGGAAAGCGTTTTCCGAAAAAAAGTTATACCACACAAACGTCTTTTTTTGACCCAAAGAATCGACTCCATCAATATCCGTACTTAATCCTAGGACACCCTGTATATTATCTCTGAACATAACGAAGTTACTTTCTGCCGAGTCAGTCCAATTTTTCCAGCAGAGCGGGCTAGGGCACAACGCAGGTGTTGCGGAAAAAGTGGCAAAGGGTCGCGCGATCGGCACCCGGGGACCAAATGCCCAGCCCGACCCTGGTGCCCCCCGGACCCGGGTAAAAGCGCAAGCAGGCGGGAGCTCCGTATCGCGGCGGGCCTTTGTTTCAATCATACATTCATCGTCGAGTGTTTTATCGGGCTCCTCCGAATTACGCGCGGGCCGGGAAATTTGCACGACTCATTTATTCACGGCGGCCGCCTTTGAGCTGCCGCGGAAAAACGGGGCGGGCTCCATTGAGCGCGGCTCGCGTTTCCTTTCAGACGCCCTCCCCGGGGCCGGGCACTCGTCGGTCCGCGGTCCGCACTTCAAAGAAAATTAGAGGCGGCCCGCCCGGGCTCGGAGTGCCCTGCCGTTCAACGCCGAATAAACAAATCATGAGCTGCATTGTTCGGATTCCGGGCGCCGCGACGTTCTTTTAGTCGACGGCTCGATGACAACCTCGTCGCTGAGTGGCCCTCGAGAGAACCGGGGACAGAACTCGGCTCCACGAGAAGAGGATGGGGGCGGTATTGCAGGGCCTCAAATGCTTCATTGCTACCGTGCGTTTAGTTCTATTTTATACTTGGGGGCTGTGCCCCCTGGCCGCTGCGCGCTCCCAAAGGTTGCTTCGCGGCTGGCAAAATCGTCGAAATAGCCCGTTGGCGGTTACTGCGCAATATAATTTAATTGAATAACAAACCGATGTTTCAAAGAAAAATTTCCCGCCACGGGTAAAGCTTGTAACAAGGCTAAAAATTCACACACAAGACCAAAAAGTTTCGGCTGAAAATTCAGCCATCTTCAGTTGAATAAATAAAAATTGTCAGCCGAAACGTTTTGGTCTTGTGTGTGAATGTTTAGCCTTGTTACTAGCTTTTTTAATTGTTTTTTATTGTATATCTTGTCACGGGCTGCGGAGAACCTGTCATATCTAATGTCCCAACTGTTGGATGATATGGACATTCCCAAATAATTGTGGTAATATCCCGATTAATTGTGGTAGTATGCCAATTAATTGTGTAGTATCCCAATTGATTGTGGTAGTATCCCGATAAACTAGGTTACGAACCCAAATGTTGCTGTACTACCCCAACTTGAGTTGCGGTGCTACTAAAAATTAATTGGAAATGTCCATATCATCCAAGAAATTGGGGTAGTACCACAATTTTAGAGAATAACCCCTGACACTTTTTTTTCGTGAACGGAGGCTTCTTTCTATAAAAAACAAGCTTCAGAAGCTTCTGAGCCCGTTTTCTCAAAACTTCATTTTTACACTTACTACTCTCTTCGCTATCATGACAGAGCTGTAGATTCTTCCGATGAGTGATTATCAAAGTTGGTGGTTATTACCTTTGGGCGGATTGATGCGGAGGCTCGCGCGGTAGAGGGACTCCTCGTCGAGCCAGTCGCGGTTGCGGTGGACGGTGCGGGCGCTGAAGACGATGAGGACGATGTAAGCGAGGCCGCGGACGATGCGGCAGTTGCTGCGCCGCTCCAGGAGCCCGCAGCCGAGGGCCATCAGGAAGCAGAACCCCACGCTCGGCGTGAACAGCACCCGCTCGGCCACGACGAAGCCCACGTAGAAGAAGAAGTTCGTCGCCGGGAGGAACGGAAGTGCCGTCAGCGCCAGGCACACCAGCACCGTCTGGTGGTGACCCAGCAAGCGCCCGCGATCCACCGCCAGCGGCAGCGGCCGTCGCAGGAGTTTCCGGCTGCACCTGCGCAAAGAGAGAGAGAAAAAATCAATAAAAACTACGAAAACTAGGAAAAACTACGGATTCATACTATACAAAACGTAAGTGAAAAATGGAATGAGTGCGCTGAGAAGAGAAGTTCGGTCATATAATACTGGAAAAAAAAAAACACATTGGATCTAGAGTCCAGACTCTTGAAAACATTGACAAGAAAAAATGCTTTTGGTTCAATCAGATTTAAGCTTCAATCAAAAGGAAATCCGCTCAAATTAAGGAGCTTGGTTCTTGATCTAAGCAAAAATCCGATTGAATCAAGAGTGTTTTTTTCTTGTCGATGTTTCTAAGAGTCTGGGCCTTAGATCCAATGTGTTTTTTTTCCAGTGTATAAACTGAATGTACGGTATTCAATACTGGCCGTACTGTTCGGTTCGTGCGACTCTTTCTCTCGATCTTAGGACTCATATTCTTGGTTCATGCACCCGAGTTTCTTCGTTAGTTCTGTTTGATTTGAATGCTCGGTTGCACGAACCGAGGATACGGTTCCCTGGACCGAGTGAGCGTTTACATGAACCGAACGATACGGCCGATATTGAACACCGTACATTCGGATCGTATGACCGAAGTTTTTTTCTCATTGCCGTTCTTGTGAGTTTATTCCTCTCAAGAAAATTATACATCTCGTTCAAAAATTAGGGTATAGTGGTAAAAATTGTATCTAGGAGTCTAGGAAGGGTCTTTCCGCCCCCTCTCTTTCTAGTTCCGCCCTTGGGGCTCGGCAGAATTATTGCCCTGAATAAAAAAAACTAAAATTACCTGCACTTGGTGGACTTGCGGCTGGCGCACGCACACAGCTCCCGCATGTTGTGGTGGGTGCGGAGATGCTTACAGGTCTTGCACTCGACGCGGGTGACGCTGTAGGCGCACTTCCGGTCCGGGGGCGGGCACTTGCGGTCCTGCTCGAGGAGAATCCCGCGGTATGAGTTGTGGGCGAGCTTGTAGAGGGCCAGGTAGAAGAGGAGGGAGAAGAGGTTGCGGCGGTCGAGGAGGCTGTGGATGCGCGGGACGGCGTCCATGGACCAGTCGAAGGAGAGCTGGAGCGGGAGGAGGAGGAGGGAGAGGTTGAAGACGGGCAGGTAGAGGAAGGTGGCCGTGCGGACGAAGAGGGAGGCCGACTTGGCGGTCGGGTTGTCGGCCGTCGCGAACGTCGGCGCCGTCGAGCCCATCATGTACCCCCGGAAGAGGAGCAGCAGGATCCCCGAGCAGCCCATCACCATCAGGCTTCGGTTCATCGTCGGGTCCTGCAACAAAAAAAAGTTCTATTAGCTGAAACCCACATAGCACAGTGTAACGAAAATCATCTCTATTCTAGTAAAATCATTAAGACGCCCGATAGACGGGGTGAGGAAGGGGAGTAAGACGGTCGATGGGCTGGAGTTCAAATTCCGTAAAAGGACAAATTCTAATGAAATCATTTTTAAGACTTCCGATGGATGGGGTGAGGATGGGGAGTAAGAAGAGTAAGAAGCGGCCTTTGGGGGCGCACAGCACCCCGGGGGTTGGGCCGCGTAGTGACCAGGGGGCAGACCCCCTAGTATTGAAATAGAATTGCGATTCATGGCAATGAAATCGCAATATTTTTACTTCATTTGGTCATTAAATACCAATTTTAAACGAAATGAGCTCCGTGTGTCAGAAAGATAAGCAATATGCAATACAATGAAGAATTGTTACTTATTTCAATTCTATTGCAACAAATTTCAATGAGGAGTGCTCCCTTGATGAGCAGATAGGCAACATACACAACGCTCCGATGAAATAGCATTAACTATACCATGTAATGGGTCGGTTGCACTGGTCACAAAATTGTGTTTTGATGCTTGATTCTAGTAGATTAGCTAAAAATACCTACTAAAAGCTGTCAAAATCGCAACTTTCTACGTTCAATATTCACCCTTAAGCAACCCTAACATGATCACTTGCTTTTTGCCGTATTTTAAAAAATGAGTGAAATGAATAAAGAATTATTACTTTTTCCAGAGAAGGTGCAACAATCGAAATCGATTGATTGCAATTTCCGCGTGAAAACAGCGAGACTGAGTCACGAGACTCCTCTCGCGAACAAACAACGGACGCGGGAAAGCTACGGATAATTGATTCCTGCTGCCTTTGTCCGCGACAAGTGTGATATCAACGTCCCGATGTCGGAGGTGGGGGCAAAATTGCCGGTTCGAACTGAAAAAAAACGCTTGTATTGATGGGAAGGTGGGAGGATAAACACTAGCAGTCGTCATGTCACCACTCATCATACGCATTTACCACTGCATTGAAACGGATCGAAACAGCAATATTATGAAAATGCCTCATTTTTCACTAGCGCTGAGTATGAATCTATATATGAGGACTTATCTGTAACAATAGCGGATGTGAAAAATTACCTATTCGAAACACATTTAAAAAATTGTTTTGGCATCGAGAAAATTTTGAGAAAATACTTGAGATGTGATCTTCGAGATCTGTACATTATGCCAGAGCCAAACATATTCAATTTTTGTGTGAACAAAACCGTTTTTTAAGCGTGTTTCTAAAAGGTAATTTTTCACATCCGCCATGGTTACATATAAGGTCTCATATATGTAGCAGGCAGTTAATCAAATCGGGCATTTCATCAAATGCCAAGGCAAACAGTCAAATTTTGATAGTATATGAAATTTCCTAAATTTAGGACGAAAAGGTCACGAGTTTTCAATATTTTGGCAAAAATGACTCAGCAAATGTGCGAGCTCTCATTGTTCTTCACTATTCCGATGCTCTTCACATACTTAAATGTTAAAATTGTAGAAATTCTGCTTTTTACGACATGCTCCAAATTTTCAGATAAATTTTCGTTTAGGAGCTAAACCCCGTTTAAAATACTACCTTATGATGCACATTTTTACAGAGAATTCTTCCAGACAAGACCAATAAATTATTCTGTCTACAATTACCAAAAGAATACGAATTTAAAACTCAGAAAGAATATTTGACTAATTACCTAGGCATTTGACTTAATGCCTGATTTGACTCTTTGCCTGCAACATAAATACCACTTTCCCGGGATATAGGACTGAAATGACCGATTTAGCATCATGAGAAAGGGAGGAGGGTATTTGTGTCTTTGCATAACATGACGATCGCCCATTCCCGTCTCCTAACCGCGGATGATGGCGATTTGCGTAGGTTATTAAGAATGTTTTTCCTCCATTTAAATCCATTATAAATGATCGACTTCGAAAGAGGCCCCTCCTTGCCTCGATATAAATCGATTGTTTTACGTGCATTTAATTGGACAAAGTGCATGGTTGCTAACTTGCAATTGTCGCTCTCAGATGACGCCGTCGCTTGTTTGTGTTATTGTTTTTCGTGACAACTTGCCGTTACCTCCACTCCTCCAGACCGCACAGGTGAAATTTTTGAATCAATGAGTCAGATGGATCACATTTTGCAAGAAAAATCCAAATTCGCTCATAGAAATAGGGATCTAAGTGAGAGCGAGAATCTTTGGTTATAATATCTACTTTCCCGAAAGAGTTTGTCACGGTGACACTCACACTTACGCACTTACACACGATGGCCACTCACACTTTGAATAGCCGACCGGAGCATTTCTAGGAACTTCTCAAATAATTCTCGAGTATTTTCCTGTTCTCGATCCTGGCACAAGATTTTACTGAGAAACTTTAAGCTCTCGGAGGAACGAACGAGACCTGTTTGTTACGTGCTACAAATGTTTTTTGTTTTTTGTTTTGATGAAAGAAAACATGAGATTTTCGCCAGGGGGGTTTTCTGTAGGGAATAGAAGTGAGAAAATTCTGGAAATTTTATTTTGGAAAAATCACGACCGTTTTAGATCCCTTCGGTGTCATAAGGGTGCCCAGGCGTAGAACGCCGTTTTTTATATTCGCCACTCGTAGGCCCCAAACATGGAAAACCAATACCTACATTTTATTTGCATATGACTTTCTTCAAAAACTGAGTTTTTTGAGCGGTAACTCTCAAAGCACCATAAAACCACTGAGTATATTATGAGGAACTAGGAGCTGGATTTACGAACGAATAAAAGGCCCCACTTTGCGGCGACGAGAGCCAACCATTAAGTACCTGGCCGCGTCAGTTCTGCGGTGCGGAGGGTGGAGAAAAATTAGTTAATTATTTATACTACAACCTCGATAAGAGAGATTGCGCTTATCTACAATCAAGCCGTTGAAATTCTCAACACGGCGGAATGACGGTGAAAATACCGCAAATAACTCTCATGCATCGTTAGTTCATTACACTTAAGTGCAGCCTTTAGCTTTATGTTCCTCAGCTTGCGAATAAATACTTTGTGACAGGAATCTGAAAATAGCTTACAGGTTCCATTCCGATTCTCACAGAATATCCATTCCAACGCGACAAACATTCACTCTTGAAATCAATTGAAATACTTAAAAAGGAGGTAAATTTTACGTGCAAAGACTTTTCATGCCCTGGTAAAAATTGGCGATAAGAGCTGCGTTTCAAAATACCATAGGAATTCTTAGAGCCGGCTATAAAGAAGGCTAAAGAAAATCATATAGCTGGCTGTAGAATTCGGAGAAAATCATACGGCCGGGCTATACGAAGCGATAAAAAATTGTGCAGCCGGGCTACAGTTCCTACAGCCGGGCTTTACACTTTATCGCCTGGCTGTTGCTTTTTCGCCATCGATTATAAAAGGCTATAAGAAATTGTGTAGAAGTTCGTGTGCTTTGGAAATCATTAAGTTTGATACGGAACCACCTTAATATTTACAAAACGCACGTTATATTTTCCTTTAATACATATATTTTTCCATCAATTAAAACGAGAATAATCCATACAGGATGAGCAAACATTTCAAAATCATGAGTTGAATAACGCTGGCTCCGCCAGATTAAATATTGGAGCCTAACACAAAGCGGAGCGGCGACGCACTGGCGCCTACAAACCTAACAAGGATACTTCACGCATTGCGCAACGCGTGAAGTATCCCTGTTAGGTTTGTAGGCGCCAATGCGCGTTTCGCGCTGGCTGTCTGCCTACCGCACCGCAGCGTGCCACGGCGCTTGAAGCAACTATTTCACACCAGAGGTATTGCACAGTATCATACGAAACTGAAGACGCTCTAATATACTAGGAATGGCAGGCGTAATTAGTGACGTTTGGCATACACTTTATCGCCTGGCTGTGAGTTGCTTAATCGCCATCGGCTATAAAAGGCTATAAGAAATTATGTAGGCGGCTATAGAAGCTATTGGAAACCTTACAGCCGGCCGTAGGTCTATGGTATTTAGGAACACAGATTCTACTGCCAATTTTTACCAGGAGGCTTACAAATTAGGACTAAAAAATCCTTACATTCCGCGTTTCTTTGTAAGTAATAGTTACATCTTACGACATATTTTTTTATAATTTTAAGTTTGTTTTCGTCTGATGACGCAGCTTGTAATTGGCAATAAAATTCAAGAAATTTTCTTGAAAAAATCCTTCCAATTGACATTAAAATTCAAGTAATTATCAACCAAATTATATACAAATTGAAAAGGATACAATGTTTAATTGAAACTTTGCGATAAATTACGAAAATCGTGTGTTAAATATGGTGAGAGAAGGGTCTCCTATAAATCTTAAATTTGCATGAATTTTTACCGATATGTTCACCTCCTCTCGAAAGTCACTTTCCCAGACTTATTTTGGGTGTTATTTTCTCTTACAATTAGAGGGTGTTTTTTCTCTTCCATTTCAATTTATTTTCGGGTGGTCACTACCGTAAGGAAAAGGCAAATCCTTCTTGGAAAAACGTTAATCCCTCGAAAAAGCCGACTTTAATACGACATCAGATTGTTGAACATGGATTGTAGAGATGTGTATTGGAAAATGTTGGCGAATATCAGGGAAACAGAGGTTGCTCGTTGACATGAATTCATAGATCACGATAATTGAAGACCAGCGGTATAGAGGCACACTTTACCGCAAGTTCTCGTCCGTAAATCGCTTGGATTCACCTTGGGAGCGCATGTTTCTCGGATACAACTATTGCAGCTTCCGAGTAGCCCTCTTTGCCTACTCTACGAGATGAAGGCGCACTGGTCGGCGATCAGAAATTCTAAATTGACCGTTCGGCTCTACAACGTGTGCGTCTCTTCGTAAAATGCGTTTAATTACACATGCGGACAAGAAAAGTGGCCAATGATGATGAGATTTCATACACCGAGTATTTTGGGAAGCAAAAGCCTCGATATCGATAAAGTAGCAACTTGGG